CATCCATCGTACTGACCCATCCTTTTTTCCTTTTCTATTTTTTCCCTTCTCTCGCCCTTTTACCCCTTTCTCGTCTTCCTTCTCTTTTTCCATCTGTAATTAACCCACTCCACTTTAAGATATTCAATCACTGACTGTTTTTTTAATCTGTTTTGTTTCCTAGGTCSTACAAAGCTCATTCCAACAGGTGGTACAACCCTCTTGTGGCAGCTAAACCCAACTGGACCGACGAACTGACAAACGATTTGAGAAATTTCCTCGATAAAGAAAACTTGATATCAGACTGCTCAAACAAAGCAAACCCCAGTAACTTTGCAGTAAGTCACACAACGGAACAATCTCAGGGGCGTAGCCAAGGGAGTCCTGCACCCACACCCTCACACTGTAGAAACCCAAACACCTAAGTAGTCAGGTGATACGTTCAAGCGACTTACTGATGTTCTGTTTTGCTCTCCCCCCCCCCCCCCCCCATGCAACATTCTGGCAACGCCCCTGAAGCTTAATCTACGAAATACTGCATTGAAGGTGTTGATTTTACCGTTGAGTATCTTAAATACTTACTTCAATTCCAGGAACGGATTAACCCAAAGAACCTGAGCAATAAGACTGCGTTCAACAAGCCATATCAACCACCACCTTCGGCTTGTGACGTAAACAGTTCGTCGACGGCTTTGCGAGTCAACATAATACATCTTTCATTGGATGTCTGGTTTATTTGGGCTCTTGGAGCTGGCGTTCTCTCGCGGTAGTTCAAAACTTTGTTTACCGTGTTCTGGTTGAACACTATCTGAGTCGCACTTCATCTACATGATCACTTAGCTCAATGCAGTGTTAATGATCACCATATGAGAAAACGTTGATGCTTAACTGAAGTCAGACCGACTGAACTTCAATGAAGTTTCTTCAGTTTTATCTTTGCACAGGCGCACTCCCTACTTGTTTTTGATACTCGCAATAGTTGTTTCTTTAGGCTCTGGCTGAAGGAGGAAACATGTTTACCCCGCGCATGTTTCCTCGATGTTTCCAGTTTAGCCACATGCGAAAAATTGCTGCGTGCAACAAATTTTGCTTCCAAGACGCTGTGCGGCAAAAACATTTCATGTTTCCAAGACGCATGGAAACATTGTTTAACGATATTTCCTGACAGTTTTGCCACCTTAGGAAACATTTAGGGAAACATGTTTCTTTGTTTAGCCAGGGCCTTATAGATAGATACTGTGCTATTGTATAATTTGATCATCAGTTTCTTATTCACTAAGTTTTATCGTAAACAGACTCGCTCTTCATTAAAGCGGGAAATCATTATTCAAAACCCCATTTTATGGGCATCAGTGGCAAAATGAGCAGCAAACTTCATCAAAAATCATGTCTTTTGTTCTCATTATTTATGATTTTCTCTTATATCTTTATTCACGAAATACATAGTATAATTACGTGTAATGAAATAATAAAATTCCCATGCACAAGTTACAAAATACAAATAGTTCAAATAAGATACGCGAAGACCTATGAGGTGTTTCTTTAATCATCAGCTGATACGAGTTTTTGAATCCTATATATTATCTGCTCCAAATGGTGATCAAACAGTTATGTGCTGTCGAAAAAGAGTTTTAAAGTTTTGATAACTTGCAATAAGCCTGAAGCGAGATGACGTTTTACCCCCGTCTCTAGACCATAATCCTTTTCACACTGCTTTTGTTCTTTAATTATGACTATTGTTCCTGTATTCTCTAAGGAATCAAAAGTTTTAATATGAAAGAATTTTAAAAACTATTATGGTATAGAGTCGGGGGTAAAACGTCATCTCGCTTCAGGCTTATTCAGCTGATGAACATTCCGCACGGGACAGGAAATGACGTCAAGTAAAACCAAGCGATTCCATTGGTTGCAATGAACCATAGATTTTCACGTGAGCGAGCTTGAAATTATGCAAATAAACTCAAAGCAAAGTAAAAACATCTTCGACCTTACTGCGGAAAACGTTTGAAGGTCTCTAGAAAACAAGACATTCTTTTCTAATTCAGTATTTAAAATGCCTGTATAYAAGTTCTGGTGAGTGTTACGTGTGCTTTAATGTATAAACATGGCGYGTGAGTAAATACTTAGATCTTTTTTACTTTTAAAATGTGTTTTTAAAGCTTATAAGAGGATGGTTGTTACAGGAACAAAAACAAGAACAAGACTATGTCCAGCGCAAGATAGGGTAAGATAAACATTCACTTGTTTTCTCGGTGACGGAATGACGTTAAGTAGGAAAAGCTCGTTCTTGATTTAGTTAACTTTGAAATAATTTCGAGCTTGTGGGGAAACAGGACGGTCTAGTTGGAACTCTTTGTCAAAACGAGCCATACAGCAATATATATTTCTGTAGTTATACCATTTTTGTATTAATCTGAATCGATCTGTAGCGATCCAGGACAGCAGGAAATGCAAAAACAAGATGCAAACACTATAACATACATGGATCCTACTTAGAATTATCTTGGTCAGTGCGATGCTAATTAGCTGAGCGGTGAATTTTGTTTCAGCCACAGCGTGTTTAGCTGGCCCTCATGGCCCAGGCTAATTAACCCAACTTTTGCATATTTTTGTGTTTTCTTTTGACTAAAATTCAAGTGCCTGCAAGAAGCAGAAAGGGAAAAATAAGAACGATTTCACTAGCTTTTCTTCCACGTCTGCTTTGTTCTTACAAGCTCCAAAAATGCTTATGGCCTGTCATGTTGTCCACTCTTGCTTTGAGCGCCGCGTTCGCCCAGCTCAGCAGCTGGAACATGATATGAAAATACGAAAAGAAATCACACATTTTTTCGATGGAAATTGTGGCATTTCTTTTTTATTTCCATGTTAGCCACACTTTCAAGAATTTGCCAGTTTGCCAAAACTAACCAGTCTAAAGTTAAAACCATAAGAACAATTCCTGAATGGCATGCTTTTTCAAAGCAAAAAAATTCAATCGAACTTCAGTCGTTCGATCATGATGATACATAATGATGATGATGATGCATGATATAAATAATAAAAATTGAACATAATGATAGTGATGATGATAAAATGAGGATGATGATGATGACTGATGATGGCGATGAATGATAATGAAAATAATACATGATGATAGTGATGATGATGATAATACATGATAATGATGATGCATGATAATGAGAGTACATTATCACGCTGATAGTGATGATGATGATGATACGTGATACATGATGATGATGATACATGATATGATGATACATGATGATGATACATGATGATGATGATGATGATAAATGATGGTGATACATGATGATGATGATAAATTCATTCACCAGCTTTTTTAGCATCAAATTCATTATTCTAACTCTACTTTTGCCTAAATTGCAAAATTATTGAATTAGTCATTTTCTTTGGTCTCATGCAAACTCACAAATCGAGATTATTCAATTTAGTTTTGATTCATTGTATCAGAATATAGCAAAAGGCAGCGTAATTTTGAGGACCAAAATCGGCATTCCTTTCCACCGCATGATTACCACAGGTTGGCACGTTGCTTTGCTTGACCACGGGACCCAAACCAACATAAGACTGGCAGGACAAACAGTTATCTTCGTTATTGGTAAAAAAACCTAAACGAAGTCTCCTAGTGTTTGGATTTTTTTCACATCTCAGATTAAACCCTTCCCTGCGGGAACGAGAAAAAAAAACACGTTATATTCAGTGTGCTTTGCACTACGAAAAATRGTATAAGGACTTACATGTTACAGTTTGCTTCCAAAGATGTTTTCGGTAGCAACGATCTCCACTTTTGTTCACCCAGATAAGTCATGACATTCCTCTCGTTGGCCATAACATCGTACAGAGACGGGGCGTTGATGCTTATAAGGATCCAGGTAAGTACATTGTTGTGCTTCATGCCCAGACATAMCTTTGTTAGGGGTGTGGTCCAATATGCTGGGGATACAGTCTCTTCTCCATCCAGTCCACCGAAACTTCCATTTGGGTTGAACACTGATTTCTGGTTCCAGTGTATCGAATCGTACTYGAAATTATTCTATTGTAAAAAAAGAGGATAAATTGTGGTCTGTTAGAATGAATACCTTAAAAAAAGACTTTGTCAGAAATTCCCGACAAATTTGCACAAATTTCTTCCTATTGTTGCACTATTATTGCAGTTCTTAGAATTGCCAACTAGTTAATGAAGCAACATATAATCCTTAACTAATAATCATTTCTTACCAATCTGCCGTTAATTTTCATGGCCAGCGTCCACGGGCCTGCACCACACTCAGAGTACGATTCAAAGGAGCAAAATACTTTGGCTACTCCTCCCCCCACGGGTTCGTGGTCGTATAACCCTTGAGTGGTGTTGCTGAGAGAGATAGAAAGCCAGTTATTAGATTMTTAAGATCAAGTTTACTGTATTGCTAAGCTAACAGCTAGGACACATACTTCTAGAATGAAAAACKTTGTTTTATTGATGTACTCACTCTGGTAGAAGTAGTTTGAGCTCCTCGCATGACTTGGGTTCTAAATTACCAAATACGTGATCAATAGTGATTGGTCGAGCAACATTGAGAGGGAGGGAGGGGCGAGGAAGGGTCGTGTATTCAATTTATCATTATAAAGTGTGTCACTTACTTAGACAAAAAGAGCCGTCACCCAGGAAACCATCTTTGCACGTGCATCGATATCCACCAATCACGTTGCTGCACGTGGCATTCACGTGRCAGTCATGARTACCATCYGTGCATTCATCCTCATCTAGTGTTTCAAACAGAGTTGTTTTAGAGTAARTCTTCACTTTAAACTAATTAAATAACATGACATGAACATGTAAGGACCATGCGATTTCATTGGACTCCGTCGCCAAAGAAGCCCTTCTTGCACGTGCATCCATATCTACCAATCAATTTGCTGCACGTGGCATTCACGTGACAGTTATGAGTACCAWTYGTACATTCATYGTCATTTAGGCGATCAATCAGAGTTGTTTHAGAGTGACTCTTTCTTCACTTTCTCAACATAGTAAAGCTTTGCTTAGTGGGGTTTCCCTGCTTATGTAACATGCTTTCAGTTCGACCCCATTGAGCTGCGCCACTGCTGTACTTTGCGGTGGTGATTAGCGATGAAAAGTTTTTTATGTGGCAAACTACATAAATAATAAAATAAAATAAACGAATCCACACTCAAAAACATGATATTTATATACAAGTCCATACCATTGCATTGGATTCCGTTGCCATAGAAACCCTTCTTGCATGTGCAGTTGTGTCCACCAATGGCATGTGTGCACGTAGCATTCACGTGACACAAATGAGCTCCAGTCAGACATTCATTAATTTCTAAAAATACAAATATTATGAACATTCCATTGCGACATTTCGTGTTTTACAATGTTAAGACACAAATTGAGACCACGTAGGCCTTTTCTGAGTTCAATAAACAAGATGCATTATGGTCTAGGTTCGGTACAAACAAYACCATATAAGGCATGWTGAACAAAAGATGTTTCTACCCTAGCTAGACCACAATGCACCATGTTCGCTATCTCATAAAAGGTCTATGGAAACTGCAATTGTTTTCGCCTTTTTCGTTGAGCTTTTTAAGACCCCGTCCACACGTATCCGGAAATTTTTGTATCCGCAAATTATTTTTTGCGGATACGAAAATGTTTGCGTCCACACGCAGCGTATTCGAATCGTTTTCASCGTCCACACGTATCCGTTTTCGTAAAATTTCTGGATACGGATACAAAAATTCGCGGACACGTGTGGACGSAACCCGTAWCCGCAAAAAAAAATTTGCGGRTACAAAAATTTCCGGATACGTGTGGACGGGGYCTTAAATAGAATCCCCAGTCCCGCAATAATTATACCAAAACTGAACAATTCATAGGTGAAATATTTCTTCATTTGAGTGTTGCATCTTTAATTTATGAAGGGTTATATCTCCAATATGTTAATTTACAATAAACATTGTGGAAACTCTGAGTAGAGTGCACGCACTAAAACCGTGAACATTAAATAGTACTAATTAGTACTATTTCATACAGAATCCTTTGTTTTCTATTGTTTAATTATCACTATTTAGTGCTAAAAATTAGTATTTGTTTCACGGATTTAGGGTGAGTACTCTATAATGATGATGCTTTTTAAATAGTGTTTGTAAGAAGCAATAATTAATATTCGTGTATTTTATGAAACCTAGGATGACGTCACAGTCATATTGGAAGTATAAACCTTCATAACTTAAAGACGCAGCATTCAAATGAAGAAATATTTCACCATCCAACTATTTACTTTATGTAAATCAACATTGAAAGTATGAAGGTGTTTTTGCTGCTTGGATAGTTATTAAAAATGTGATTTTTTCCCGAAAACAATTTGCTTGAAGAAACATAAATCCCATCTAAAATACTGAAAGTATTGTATCAGGGGTTCAGGGTGCGCTTTAAATACGTACCAATTTCGCAGTATCGTCCTGTAAATCCTTGTGGACACACACAAAGATATGGTTGGTCTTCGTCAGGGAAATCTCCCTGACATGTAGCATTGTTAGAGCATGGATAACTGGAACACGATGACTGGAACAAAACATTAGTGCCCAATAGAATTCATTTCCACCCAAAGAAAGGAATATAAGTATTTTTATTATATAGATATCGATGAAATATCGCTGTTGAATCGGCTTGCTCTTTTAATTAAGAATTTTTGAGCTTTTGTTTTATTTAAGTTTCATCGATATCTATATAATAAACAGTTAAATTCATCGTTAATGATGAGCTTGGCGTTAGGTGCTTATTCGGTAGGATGGGCGGAGCCCGGCACAAATTAGCGGTAACCATGGTCACCCTGTCACCACCCACCAAACCCCTGTCACATTGACCGCGATCAGTCAATGGAATACTTACCTCTACTTACCTGTACCAGTGGTAGGGATGGCGGGCGGGAAAATTAAACTCGTGTTGTAGCGTAATAGCGTAATAGCGTCGTATAGCAAGTGCTAGCGATAGTGATGGCGAGTAAAGGTTCGCGTGGTTGGCATTAAGCTAGCGTGATCACGTGTGTATCGTCTTATCGTATTTCGTAATGATAGCTATGATCCATATCTCAGACAGGCCACAGAGATCGACTAGAATAGATTGCGACGTGCTATAAACAACTTGCTAGCTGAGTCGATCAACGATAGCGTGAGGTAATAAATGCGCGTTGACAGCGGAAGATAGCGATATGCGTCGGGACAACGTTACTGCGAGATGTCATTGACCTCGAGTCTAACTTTGCCTAAATTACATTTAACCACATAACATTACATAGCCGCTTGGAGATACAAATTTTAATATCGATATCAATTGAACACTCGAAGATAAAATTCGTATCTCCGCGCGCCCATGTAATATCCTCTATAACAGTGAACTCTTGGCCTCACCTCTGACCCGTAGAAAGTACAGCCTGCTTTCTCTACCAGGTTTTCTCCGTGACGAATGTAGTCAGAGTCTAACAGCTCACACAAAGGCCCATCGATGTAGTCCTCACAGAAATTATAAGAAAAACACAGCAGTTGCAAGTAACATATGCTTGCACAGAGGTTTCTGTCATCTACTGGATAGATGCTATTAAATGTGTGATTTATCATGGCCTTTCCTGGTAAAATCCTGTTAACAGTAAAGTGGCGACACAACCCTATAGAAAGAATAAAACAATGACATTTGCGGGTTTGGCAAAGTATCTTTTTATCTTTTGGAAAAATTAATAAGTCTATATCGTCGTATATATAGTTCCGAATCAATCGAACCATGCAATCACCGTTGTAGCAGTTTTCCCAATGGAATTAAAATCTTGTCCCAAAAAATCCTACACACTGCAGGTACTTGGAGTGGAACCAAACTAATTCAGAGCGAATTTTGGTCATTTTATTCTCGCTCGCTTCGCAAAACTAGTTCGTAAATTTAACTGAATTTTTCATATAATGTACTTTGATTATCTTAGAAAACTCATTATATAGCGCCCTTTCTATATGGATATAAACATTGTGTTGTGAATGACAGATTGCTTTTATGCAATTTACAAGCATGAGAGATGGTCACTGCCGGGATTTCTTTACGTCCTCAGTGGTTCTTTTACGTCCCTCCGATGTTGGTTAGCGATGAAGAGTGTGGAGAGAGATATATATATGAACAAAAAACAAAAGATAAAAATTGTAATTTTCTTTTCATTTATGGAATGTTTGAATGCTTTGTAGTGGAAAATACAAAAAACTTGTGGATTTTTTTTGCAACTGATGGGGTTTCTCAGCAGTCATGTTGGCCACATGACAATAAATATGTCATAAACATTTTTTAAATTAAAAGTTATGAAACTTTAGGAAGAATGAATATCAATAGTAAATGAATAAATAACAAATAAAATAAAAAAAAGAGAAAAAGCAAAATATAGTCATAATATTAAATACCTAAAAATATAAAAAAATAAAAAAATATTCATAATATTATATGTTAAAATATTCCTGAATTTTTCTCTGATATTCAAAATAGTTTCATCATTGTGAATGCCATCTTCCAATATTCACTCATCTACTCTCTCGCTTATTCATTATTCATTCAATTTTTTAAGCTATAGGAAGTCATTCAAAAAACTGAAATAACCCAAGGATTGGAAAAATTTTTATATATCTAGCTCTTCTCTATTCAACTTAAATTTCAGTAAAGCATGTCGAGTGTTCAATGCAAGGTGTATTTTCCAAACGAAAAAAAAAAAACAAAACACAAAAATGTACAAAAATAAATTTGCTGTCAACTGTTTTACGGGAAACGTTTTAACGTCAATTTAAAAACTCCAATTGACAAGCAAAATTTACCCAGAACTAGCGAAATAAAATGGAAAAATTCTGCAAGTAGATAGATATAAGAATACTTGTGAAAAGATATAACTAGCTAAAAACTAGTGTGAGCTGCGTCGGTGTTTCTAATGAAACAGTAATGATGAAAAGGTAAATTATACACCGTGAAAAGATGAAAAAATGAAAAAACTTACTGACGTTTCGGACGCTAGTCCTTCGTCGGAGTAAAAGATATAACTAGCTAAAAACTAGTGTGAGCTGCGTCGGTGTTTCTAATGAAACAGTAATGATGAAAAGGTAAATTATACACCGTGAAAAGATGAAAGAACTTACTGACGTTTCGGACGCTAGTCCTTCGTCGGRGTAATTTACCTTTTCATCATTACTGTAAGAATACTTGTGTTTTATTAAAATGAAGGGAAACGATAGAAAACGTCTGTCTAATAACAATAGTAAATTTTGTCCAATATACCTTCAGAATGAGAGATCATCATCAGAAGAGTGAAGATAAAACCTGCTATCACTTTGTAGAAAAACTCCATCGTCCAAGACATCCTTGGATTGCGAACGTTGACAGGTGAATGAAAAGCGTCGAAGAAGAGACTTTCAAAAATAGTTTGCGCATGCGTGTAATTCAGAATATTGTTTCTCTTATTAATATTTGATGTCGTATTGGTATAAAAAGAAGTGCTTTATTGCTTAGCCTGATCCTAAAACAGTCATTGACTATACTTTTTTTAAGATATTGGCGCTATATTTTTTTAAATTTCATGAAAACATGAAAATGTTACTGGTGTTAATCATATTTATCAACACCGCTTACCTTCAAAACAAAGAATCTTTGAAAGTTTTCAGGTCAAAATGAATAGGTACTTAAAAATCCTGAATGAATTCCTAATGATATCACTGGGCTTGCTCGTAAACACACTATAAAGGTGCAATTAGGCGAGGATTCATATTATTTKATGTGTCTCTGATATTGATTAAGGATAATTACACGTTTCGACAATTTATCAATGGCCTTCATCAGTAAAATTAAAAATTAAAATTTTACTTATTAAGGCTGTTGTTAAATGGTCGAAAGGTTCAGTTTAAAATATAACCATAGAGGTGTTATAGTTTCTTTCTCGGCGCCACAGACATTATAGCAAGACACCGCGAAAAAGAAAAAGAAACCAGTTAGTTTTAAGAGTTAATTGTGACAGGCTTCTAACAAGCTCTTAGCTTGGAAAAAGTCCAAATAGTACTTAACAACCGCTAAGCTACGATATGGTTGTCAGAACAATCACCATGAATATTTTAGAAGTGATTGACGATGGGGACGGGGGAGTCGGCAAAATCACATAGAAAGCTAGAAAGCTTTACAGAAATAACCTAACTCCCCCTCCCCCTCCCCCATAAGATAATAAATGGAAGCCTCTCATTCGTTTTCTAAAAGTCGCGTTGTCAAGTGGCGCATTCACCGAACGAATTGTGGACGAACTGAAAATTCCGTCTTTTTTAAATATCCGGATACATGGAGACATGGAGAGATGGTTTTAGTCATAGATTAATCAAGCATGCTTTTCATTTTAAGGAATACAAAAATCAAGACCTCACAAGTTGTCTTAAGTTTTATTTTTGCAAATGATTATACGAGAGTTCTATCTCTTGCGTATTGACCTCCTCTCGTTCGTCTAGCTCGTAGTTTTCCGGTTCGTCACTCCAGTTTTGAAATATTCTTCATTAATTATCGATTTGCTCTGTGTTTTTTGATGTTTAAAGTATTCCTTGTAATAATAATAATAATAATAATTTATTGACTTATATTGCGCTGCTTCAATAAAATTATCAGCAGCGCATTACAATATATATGATATAAGATAAATCAAATCTAATTCACTAAAATTATAATATAAATAAATATTGTAATCACAATCGAAATTATATATAATAWAAAATATATATATATACACATATACACACACACTCATATATATACATACATATATAATAATATTAGGAACTAATCTAAACAAAATACCAATAAAAATCATAAAAATATAACTATATACATAAAATAATATCATGTCCCAACTTGTTGACTTTTTCAGCGATAGAAATGATCCGTGTCCTCCTCGTCTTTCAAGCAGGGTCGCCACCAGCTGGACGCCATGACAACAGTAAATTACGAATTACGCGTGAAATTTTACCTTGAAATTTGGGAGGGATTCGTCCTACAATATTACAGACTTTTAAAATCGAAACTATTACGATTTCCTCAAATGTGATTGATGATGTTAATAGAACTGAATAGAGTGCAACTCGGCCTAAAATTATGCGAGCTATTACAAATACAACTGCGTAGCGTGAGGCAAGGTTTTCTGCTGACAAAATTCACACCATTTATTCCCTGATGATGGATCTAAGATCCGAAAGCTCGGAAAATAATAAATATATGTAGATGAAACAATAAATGAATATTTAAAAATCACACTCTCTAAAAATCATTATCTTCGCAAGTTTTGATCTTATTTCCCTCAAACTTCATAGTTTTACTAATTTTCTAAACATGTTTTTTCCCTCAGCTATGGAAATATTTTTTTTCAGTTAAGTAAGTTATAAATACCTAATAAAAGCTCATTACCACAGAATAGAATAAAATGACGTTAATTTAGTATTTTTACACAAGCGAATATGATAAATTCGGCGCGCTCATTGTTTACAATTTATGTTTTATCCTGTTATAACATGCGCGCACGCGCACGCTCGTATGTCGATTTGTACCGCTTGCAGAGATAGAGTTTTWAAAAAAAATTGTTATGAATCGTTCCTGCATCAAGTATACAGTTCACAAAATTTACTTTCAGATTCATTTAGCAAATCTAATATCATCGCTTTTGAATAATTGTAATTTTGAAGATCTTAAAAATGTAATTAAGAGATTAAACAAGAATATTCATATTAATACTGCTATATTTATTAGCAATGTAGTTTCTCAGATAGCCACATTCTTTTGGAACTCTTTCACAATCTTGTATACCAAAGGCCTTTCTTTAGCTTACTTACTTTCATATTATAGCATTAAGACAAGTCTTCTTGTCGAATGCTTAACCTAAGAATATCGCATCGTTACAAAAAAATATACCTTGAAGTATTATATTAAGCGGGTTACAGTGAGGACACTCGAACGGTGAACACTTTGAGTTCTTTTTTGTTTTTTTGTCATAAAATAGATATTGTAAATTTATCCCTTGAGCCAATCGATTGGAAATAAGATTAATTTTCATCACTCTAAGTAACAACACAATGCTTCATTCAGGTGGGTTTGAAACAATAGAAAGTCAAGAAAATAACATCTTGAAAAAAAACTCGAAATGTTCACGGTTTCAAGTGTGTCCTCACTGTAAAACAGCTATCATATCTATTTAAACTTTTTGCTTAAAAGAGGAAAAGCATCCGTCGTTGTTTAGGTGCTTGTGACTAAAAATTCAGTTTCTGGTACTTGAAGATGACGCAGGTTCCGTTCTTAGGACGGAACGTATCGATGCCCGTTCCGGCTGATTTATTCGGAGCAGAATAAATCATCCAATATTTCTTGCTTGCCGGGTCTTTGCGTACGCCGCAGATGGACACGACAGAATGTCCATACGCGCCTTTAACTGCAGTCAATTTATAACACTGGTGTTTTTTCGCGGCAAGGAGGAGGATGCGGTACGCGTTAGTGCCTTCGCCGACGGTGAGGTGAACTGGGGGTGGTGCCTTAAGCAATGTTCCATTGGTGGTAGTGGTCAAGAACTCCAGGCGAACACACACTTGGATTTTCTGCGTAACCATAACAACTATGAATTAGTACCTTGATCAATGATATTGAAAAATTGAAATAACTACTGCGCCAGTCTTCTGACTCGTCCTGTCCGTCGATATGTTTATCATTATAGCAACCCCACGAGCTGTCGCACGGCTTGTAGTAAGAAGGACTGACTCACATAAAAGTAACAAAAACTTTTGTACTATCAAACAATTATCATCGTGATTTTTGGACTTATCCCTCCCTCCCATCCCTTTCTTTCCATCCTCAAAACACAGAGTATTTCTTTTTATTTCCGTTTTTTTAGAGCAGTTTTCGTGTGAGTAGTAAACGATACGATAAATTCGTAGCCATACTTTGACCATATGTTACCGTTGCCGTAACTACGCTTTGTGATTGGATGAATTACTGGAAGACGATGGGAAGCCATTTCAATGTTACGGCATATCCGACCGTGTACGTGCTGTAATTCATTATCGTATACTTCACACTAGCAAAACGAAAACCCCTCTATGCTGTAACAGAAATCTTGTATTACGCATGCGCATAGTGTCCTAGACTAGAAAGAGAATGACAGACTTACCGCAACTTGTTTGTCAGTTGRAATAACAGGACACTTGATGTGTTTGATGTCCTCAGGAATAGCACCAATGAGAGCTGGAATCACTTGAACCACAGACATCAGATAGTGATAAACAAACGAACCGTCACTGGCTTGACTGGACAGCATGGACATCATGGTCTTCCTGCAGTCCCATTGGTTTGGGTCGATTTTCATCGTTAAAAGTGCCTGTGAAAGTAGCGTAAGTACATACAAAGTTTAAATTAACCTTTCCGAGATCGAGGGAAAGACTGGGTCGAGTTGGCATTGCAATGCATTGTAGGACTGTTCGTAGGGGAACGCCATTTTGGAAATATGTTCCCTAAAAACATTAAAATTAAAACATTTCCGAAAACGTCTTACTGCGGTACAGAAAAATGAATAAATGATCTATAAACGTCGTCAATCACTCAACTTGGAAATTTTACTGGGTTAATTCGAATCAAATTTATCCATAAAAGAGTGAATATCAAATATTGTCCGTGCACTTTCCTTTTGCGTGTCGTTTATTCAGCTGTTTTGAGTAAAACCTGGCGTGAAAATCAGTCTCCTTTCGGCTTTGAAAAATACGGATTTTAAGTCATTTTTCAAGAGTTCTATGTTTGCTCTTCTGAAGACAAAACTATTTTAACCGTCGAGTTATGGGGATAAAATGAAACTCGTATTGGTGCCGGGAAACTACGTTTTACCTGGACGACAAGAGCAGTAGTAATACTGTTGCCAAAGCTGCCATCTTCTTTCTGAGAATCCACCATCGTGTTTGCCGCCTCATTGAGGGTGGTTTTGATAGTCTGGTTATTTTTCAAGCTGTCATCTTTGTAAATACAAGACAGTGCTAGTGTCAGCATCGACATTGTGTCTCCAGCATGGTGTAGTTTCACTGACTTTTTGATAAAGGGCACCAGCTTGTCAGCATAACTTGGATAGAAATCTCTTCCCTCGCCGCTAATGCATAACCCAAGGATGGCTAAACCGTAGGGAAAAGGATGGTTAAACCCGACTACCGGGTACTCCGGTATTCCGTCTTTAAGCCTCTGCACCAACTTTGCATAGTTTTTGGGATCTTGGCAGGTTCCAAGGGCACCTAGGATGTAGTATCCAGCTTCGCCGGGAGTCACTTCAGACATGTTCCTCGTTTTGATGTCGTTCTCAAACTTGTCTTTGTCAACTCGGGATAGCATGTCCTGGGAGAAGCCGGCGAGTCTGAGGGAGAAGAGAGCAGCGCCTAGGTGATGTCCTCTCATAAAGGTTGTTTTGTCCAGCACCTTGGAGCGGATGAACTCTGCTGCTCTGACAGATGAACGAGCCAGGTCGCCATTCAACTTTCTGTCGCCTGAACAGGATAGAAGAAAGGAGAAATAGGACAAAGTAAGAATGAATTAAAAGACCAGAAAATAATTGGAATAATTGGACCCAAAAAATAATTGGAAAGCGAACGAAAAGGATAGAAAGGATAGAAAATTAAGTTCGGTGCATGGAAATTTCGACGTATGCCCTAGGCCTGAGATACCTTTAATCAGTCTTTTTCCGTGTTTTTGTTTTTAACACTGCGTACCTACATATCACCCGCCATTTGCCAGGCTGTAATGAATTATATTCTCAAAATTTCTTAAGRATATAAAATTGATCCTTTTGGTCAACATACCACAGAAGGCATCAAGCTGACGGGATGAAACAAACAAGACCAACACGAAGAGAACTAGTGATCCCATCTTGACRAGATACGTTGCGTGTTTGCACTTYAGTWCAAATGAATYTTTTTGACTCTTACTTGAAGTTAACATTTGGTCATTTCATCCAAATTACCCAATCAATTGGCTGCTATTATTGTCTTCAGTAATTTGGCAAAATTGGAAAAATTGTCATCAGTTATTTGCACGTAGTTTCAGTGTAACGGAAAGTCGTCCAAAAACTTGGCACCTAAGAAAGCTGATTCTTCAGCGTAATAATTAAATTTTCCAAAACATAACTACGACGAAAAATAAACAAGTTTTTTCTTGGTTATACATATTCTTCATGGGGTAGACTTTTGGGTAGGCTAAGAGAATATGAACTAAGAGAAGGAATCTTTGGTATTCATGAATGTAATCTTCATAGGCACCGTTTGATGCTATAAGCAAAATAAAATAATATAAAATAAAAATAAAACATTTGCCATCGTTGCCACGCCCATACTGCGTGCGCACTACGCTGTTTGCTCACGCTGTTTTTGTAAAAACACAAGAAATCATGAGCAAACAGGGTAGAGCGCGTGCAGAAAAACAACCGATCATATAAATGATTCTAAAAATAGCATCAAATAATCTAAAAATAGTATCAAACAATGCTCATAATGGGGCGCGTAATTCCTTCTCTTAGTTCGAATTCATTTTATCTTGGGTAAACTTTTTATCTTACTAATTTTGGATGATTTTTAAATGAGGAAAAACCTCAGTAACGCAGGAGAAGTCTGTAAATGGGATACAGAATCGTTCTCATTAGCATTTAACTTTAACATTAATTTTCTCGAACCAAACTCACTCCAGTCTCGGCTTTTTAGTAGAATATGAAATGATACTCCTAGAATTTTTTTCAGCATTGTTATTTCCTTATGAAAAAATRTGATTTCCTTTCGTTTTCGTCTATTGTTTCCGTCAACAAGGATTTTCGTAATGAGAATACGTTCGTGATACATCCAGTGGGTTGGCAGTTTTGAAAGCAATGATTAGACATATTTGAAGGAATTCATGAAAAGGAAGTAGAATTCTGACATTGTAACCATATGAAATGAAAAAATGCCAACAGTAATTACTTACACATGAGCTAGTAGTCCGAGGCCGAATCATGCCATTCTGATTCTGCAATCTGAATGGCTGTCATGTCATTCCGATWCTGCACTCTGATTGGCTGTACAAATCAAAACAATTCAAAATGGCAATTGTCCTGTCAGTATTTTGACGAGGTTCTGGCAAAATTTCCAAAGATTTGGTTGTCATGTCTTTACTAGAGTTCAACTTAATTTTTTTATATCACAACAATCGGATCTCTTGCTCGTATTGTCTAACTATTGGTTTTTTGTGTCCTATGACGAAACCATACAGGAAGCTTGTCCCCCCCAGTCACCAGTTTCACTCGAGATCTTACCTGCAAACTCGAGAACATACCTTCTAATATTCTGAATATCACTTGAAGTAATGGATATATAAAGCTTTCAAATTGGAAGGAAGGAAACAAACGAAACCAGAAGAGTACAAGGAAACCACATTTAGAAAACCGTCTCTAGAGACAAAGCTATAGGGATTTATTTCTTCATATATATTTATTTTTCATAACTTTCGGGGAATTTTATATTAGATATATTTATATATTGGAGATAATTTTGATTGATGCAGTGTCATGTGATATGTCATGAAAACCATCAACTTTTACTGGGAAATATATCGATGTTCATGACTAGACAAATATTAACTGCCAGCGGTTATAACGCACCTGCTGTAACCTACTATGTCTCGGTCAGGTCACGTGATACATTATAACCATTCAGCTATACAGGTGTACCATATGACCAATCAGAAGACGCGTTCTATGTACCAAAAGCACGTGTGTTCTATATTCTTTTCATCGAAAAAATTTCGTCCTATTTTTTATTTTGTAGCTACACAGGAGGGGAAAATAATCCCAGGAACTATTCCACTCTTTTGTTTATCTTGAAATTTTATTTAAATTCTTTGCCCTATACTAGTTTACACAAGTTGTTTTCTTTGCTACCATTCCTACCTACGTTTTATCTTAGTCTATTTTGGCGAGAATCAGGTTCCTTGTGGTTTCAAACAAACGGACTGGGATCCCTGTGGTTTTCACTGCTCTAACGAAAGTTCAATTTCTGGAACTTAAAGATAACGCACGGGCCATCCTTAGGGCGATAGTTATCGACCCCAGTTGGTGTCAGGGTATTAGGGTCAGAGTAGATCATCCAATATTTCTTGTTGGCTGGTTCTTGTTTCACACCGCAGATGGACGTGATGAAGTGACCAWAAGCTGATAGTTTAGCGGTGAACTTGTAGCAGGGATTTTTAGTAGCAGCCAGTGTGAGGATGTGGTAGGCGTTGGTTCCGTTTGCTACTGTGAGGTGGACAGGGCTTGGGTTTGGTGGGGCTGATACGTTGGCTGGGTTGGTAAGAAACTCTACTTTTGTGCAYACTTGGATTGGCTGGGTAGAAGAAAAAAATATTGGCAAAATGAAGTAGTGTAAGATGATAAAGTCATAATCTATCATTCGATGGTTTGTAACCTTTCCCAAGACCCAAGAAACAGAAACATGGCGGCGATGTCGGTGGTGTTAACAAAGGAGGGTAATCAGAAATATCAAGAGAAAATTTAAAAAATATTGATAAATAAATATTAATATTAATATTTTTTTAAATTCCATCAATATGGTGTAACTTGCAAAAGGAAGAGAATTTGCATTGTTCGTATGAGGAAAGCGCAAGTGAAAATCAGAATGTACTAAATCTTATTGGGCGAGTCATCTTAATTACGCGATATGATTGGTTGCGACTAGTAATCTATCACGTAATTTGATTGGGTTAGCAATACACGATATGATTGGCTGTGGGGATTAGCACGTGGATTGTCATGCAAAACATAGTTAGGCGAAGTAGAAGCCCTCTCCATTCGTTTCAGCAAGTATTTGTTGCATTGGAAAAGTAAAACAAACAGCACTTGCTTGGTATCTTAAAAGCAACAATGTCTCAAAAACCTTTAAACTGATTTTAGCTTTAAGATACGACACGATATCTATCTTTTTTATTTGCGACCACCGATGCCCTTGATGGATTGCGTTACTCACATTTGCGTTTCCATTTGAGGAGTTCTTCGGGCACTGAATATGATTGATGTCACTCGGGATCGCACCAATCAGAGAAGGCGTTACTTGCATTGTTGATGCCACGTAAGGAGAATTGAAATACCCATCACTTGCTTGTTCTCCTAGGATGTACCTCATCGTCTTGTAACAGCGCCAAAAAAAGGGTCTGATGTGAGCAGACAAGAGAGCCTAAACAATTGATGGAAGCAGCAAATGCATTACAAACAGACTAGCACTTATTTTGTTACTTAAGTATGTATATTGTGGCACAAACAGGGGTACCATATAATGGGTGTAGTTAAAATGGTAACAAAGGAAGGAAGGAAGGAAGGAAGGAAGGAAGTTAGATGAAAAAAGGAGGATTACATCAATGTACCTGAACAGTTAGTGCACTGGTGATGCTATTTCCAAAGCTGCCATCCTTCTTCTGTTGTCTTCTCAGCCATCTGGTAGCAAACCGCAAGATCGACCTCAACTTGGACCTGGCTCTACACAGCTTTCGGTCAGCAGCATTCCGGTACCAGTATCTGTACCAACAAACCAAATTGCGAGGTCGCTGTCTGTCGTACATACAAGACAAAGCCATGGTTGCCATAGCGATTGTGTCAACTGCATGAACCGACTTCTGGTTGTCTCTTATCATTTTGTCTAGAATCTTGGTGTATGTATCGTAGGATGCCTGGCCGTAGCCACTGGTGCACAGAGACAGAACAGCAAGAGCGTACTGGAATGGGTGGTTGAATCCAACAATGGGATACTTCTTTATGCCATCTTCAACACTCTTAATCAAGTTATAACCATGGAAAGCTCTCGGATCTTTGCAAATGGCCTTAACACCAAACACTATGTAAGCCAAKCGWCCTGTTGTAATGTTGTTCAGCCCTTCCTTGTCGATGTACTCTCCGATCTTTTCGACTCCAAGCTTGGAGATCATGTCAATGGTAAAACCATTGAGGCGAAGGGAGTTAAAGGCCGCAGCACGGATGTATCCTAATGTAACGGTGTTTTCGTCTGCTAGTTTGGATCGTATGAACTCTGTTCCCTTGACCGCTGCTCGAGCAAGATCACCGTTGAGCCTCGGCCCTCCTGTGAAGAAAATGAATAAAAGAACCCTCGAGTAACATGGAAAACAAGATGGATTAATGGAAAATGTACAAGTAAATGAAACTAAATGATTAAATTAAGAAAATGCATAAAAAATATCTAGAGAAATAAGGAAAACGAGTTAAATAACGAATGAACGAAAGTGGAACCGAACGAACGTTAATACATCCATGACGTCAACGTTTTTAACGTCGCGTGACTGATGATGTATTAAACAAAACAAAAACAGACAGTATATAGATACATTTTGGAATATTTAACACAATAGGTGTGTTGTTTTCATGACGACTTCCTACAGAGCTGAGACAAGCATTTGCTACTCCTTCACACTTTGTCTCTATTGACTTTTCCATGCTATGTTTCATTTCTGTATTTGTAGCATTTAATCCTTGCTGAATTAGAAATCAGTGTTTACCTAATATTTCACTAGTGGCTTCAATTAAAAACTCCTAAAAAATCAAGAGCACTTCACTTTCATTCTTCACTTGTTGACATTTGCATTAGTTATTGTATTAATTTGATGTTCAACTAACCGACGACAACTTAGCATAAACATGTTTTTTCCTGTTATCTCTAAAAAGAACTTATACTGAGTTAAAAAATATTTTTGATTTGAATGGCAGTGGAGTAAACTAATAACCATCTAAAATCTGGAAATAAATATTTGTCTCTCAGTATTGACTTTTACATCTTGTTTTATTCCTGTATTTGTAGTTAATAAATTAAATCCTCCCAAAATAAGTAATCAGCATATCCCAACCATCGTCACTAATGGCTTTAGAAACTTCTAAATCAAGAGCGTTTCACTTTCGTTCTCCACTTCAGGTTATATAAATTAAGCGACCAACTTTTAGCACGTACACTGTTTTTTTTTCCTGTTATCTCTAAAAATGACTTTGAAGTTAATTTTTTTTAGATACAGTGGAGTAATTAAACTTGAAAACCAACTGAAATGTGGATTTAAAAAGCTGAAACTACAATAAGAAGTTAACAGCATGCCATTTTGAAAAAGCTAGGACAACAGCCACATCAAAGTCTACGAGTGCATAAATAAACCATGACTTCTTAATGACTTTCTTTGTGGACTAGAGTGGGCTTCATTTGCCCGTGAAAGAATAGCCACACGTATGGTTCTTTATGAGTTCTTTACTAGTCCTAACCCATTGTATTTTTTTTAGTCTAGTCTTGTCTATGTGTTGTTATTATTCCTTTACTTATTATTATGGCTGTATATGCAGTGAAAATGAATTGAATTAAGATCAATTAAAAATATAGAATTTAATTTTTTCCGCTTTGTCGCCTCAGGAAATGTTTTTTTGTAATTTATCGATATTGAGAATTTGAAGGAAACTTTGCTGGCATTTTATACCAAAATTAAATTGCAAAAAAAGTACATGACACGTATACAGTGAAGACGAAACCATGATCTCCCCTAACACTACACATTTTTATCGTTGGTCATCATGGTTTCACTTCGAGTTTTGTTTAATTGAAAGCAAAATCCTAGTACCAAAAATAAACGAAAGAGTTGATATGGAGATTTTTAAAGTTTAAGTTTGATAACTCACCACAGAATGCGTGGCTCTGTACCCAACAAAGTACAAAAATCGTGATGATAAAAAAGTTCATATTGAAAACAAGTCTGTTAAACTGATTGAAGCAATACCATTCTATATATAAATTATTTGTAATTTATTCATATAATTTATTGGCCAATCATAAATCAGGTCTTTCATGCATTATCAATACCAACCAATAGGAATTTGTTTTATTTTTGGTACATGATTTAGCTCCTATCCAGAAGCTATTACCCCCTTATTTCGATTTCAACTACGAATATATGCTTTTGTTGATTTTATTATGATTTAATTGAAAATCCTTCTACATTTGCCTACACATTAATTAGCTAAAAGTACAGTTTAATGAGTTTGAACTCGTATTAAAGAACGCATTTGTACCGTAATATCATGATTTATTTTTAGCACGAAATGATTCTATAATTTGTCAACTATTTCCTGACGATATGTACGCCATTACAAATGTGCTTCTCTTAGCCTGAAAAATGTCAATCACTAATCATAYATAGTTTACATTGTTACTCAGCTTTTTTCTTATACCTAATTATACACCGTGTTGTGGCTAGCTCATCATCAAGTGATTGCGGGCTTGTATTATTTTGTCAGTCCGTTTTCAAAAGCCTGATATTTCACAGCTCTATGTTACTTTTCGCTATTTGATACTTGAAGATGGTACAAGATCCATCCTTTGGGTAGAAGTTGTCAATCCCAGTGGGCGCCAAGGTGTCTGGATCAGAATACATCATCCAGTATTTGCCATTAACCTTATCCTCGTACACG